GAATGAATGAATGAATTAAGAGAGTGAGAAAGGAAAGAAAGGAAAAAGGAGAAGGAAAAACAGAGAAGAGAAAAAGAGGTGGAAACGGGTAAGCGTAAATTAATATCGAGTCGACTCTCATCATTGTTGGAATGCGCCATGCACCTCTTAACAGCTCAGAATGATAGAAAGCCTTGAATGTACAATTTCGGGTGACGCTGCAAGGACTCAGTGACTTGCTCTCAAGAACCAAAATATGAGGTTTGGTTGACTTTGATGGGGTTCAATCTGACGGGATGATGCCTCACTACACTAGTCCCTTTCCGACCCTTGACATTGAGCTTGGCAGAAACAGCATTGATTAGGGAGATTTGACACCTTTTTCAACTATCAGAACTTTTTCCTATAAACTTCCAGAAAATGATAGTGCTGCAGGAAGTAGCAGGGGCATGGCATAATTCATCAGTAGCAGTGCCGTCGACAATCCTCCCACTCTCTAAATCGGCTCATCCCTCCTATAAAGCCGCTTTTTGCGACGACGATAAGTCCGAAGCGCTACAACGGATTACGATGGATTACAATGTCGTTTAATGCTAATGAAAAAGTGCTTTCAATCACAGAATATTCATACATTCCATAGAGTTTAAAGGGAGAAGAAAACTTAGGAATTTCCAGACAATTAAAGAAGAGACAGTATGAAATATGAAGGCTATTAAGAGACTAGGGCAACAGTGGCTATCAAAAATAGACAAAAACAGATTAAAAGAAGCAACGACGTCGAGGAATCCCATTCAGTAAACTTTACATTCCTGGATGGAATTCAAATTTATTGGAGAAAGTGTAAAAGAACAAAGAAAGAGAAGAAGAGAATAGAGGAAGGGAAGGTTGGAGGGAAGGTGATGAGGAGAGTGGCGGCTAGGAAACATGCACTCACTAAGGGTCTGCAGAAGTCTCGGAACCCACCGGTGCCATGGATCATCTGCAGAATTCAAAAACAGAAGTTCAGATGATGAAAATAGCAATGAACCAAGGAAGAACTCATCCAATTGATCATGAGTTCCTATGACGTCATCAGGACTCAGGTAGATAGGATCAGAGTAGGTAACTTATAGTAGTAGGCAAGCCAGTACACAGGCTAGAACAATGGCCCTTCAATCATCTGTTTTCGACATGGCAGGCGGTAGTACACGGGGAAGTGGGGGTTACGAGGTATTTGAAAAGACCGACAGAATGACGACGGGAGGGAAGGAGTTGTTGTCGTTGACTGCAAATTGGAGGTAATGCGTCCTACAAATCACGTCAGTTGTTTCCTTCTCTACCATTGTCGATCGAAATCGCCACCTCCCACTGGGATTTTTGATTTATCACAATCGCCTCGACACGTCGCTATTGCACGCATACAGGAACAGTTAAGGGAATTGTCTTGAATGTTATTGAGATTGAAAAACTCAAAGGAATTACTTTTTCTTTAAGGGAGTCATGCAGAAGAGCTCACAGGACTGACAGACTCGACCCGTTCCGGAATCGTCCACAAGAATCTGGGTTTACCGAAGGAGACTGAAAGAAGATCGATTCGAAAAGGAAAAATCTCAAAGAAGTTGCTTTTAGGTGGGCCAAAAAGTCACCGTCACCTCATTACGAAGATATTGCCCACGAAAAGCTGAGTAGGCCAGATAAGTGACGACGAGAAAGTCCCTGAACTTTCTACTATACTTCTAGGCTTTATTATATTCATTGCGAGTACAAATTTTGAATAGTAGGGCTTATATAAACAAATTATTTACAAATAAATATTCCAAGTATCCTCCCTTCCCTTGTCTATGGGACATCTCTTCCTCATTCTCTATGGGAACTCTTCACTACACGATTGACTTCGTCAGTTTCTCAGTGACCAAGGTGCGGCTGAAAAAGGCATCACCAGGAAACTTCCGCCTCAGAAACGTTTATTGAGTACACTCAGAACAGGAAAAAACTCTTAAAAACCCAGTTCGTGTGTTGTTAGGCCAACTGAGGGGTACTTGGAAGTTTTTTAAACCCTCTCAATTCCTCAACATTTTTTCGACATTCCTTATCTCTTTTTTTGATTTCCATGTACGGCTTTCTATGAACCTCGGCATGATTAAATTACTGAGTTTGTTGTTGTCTTGAACTCTTCACGAGGTTTTTAAATAACCTTTATTAGGCTGACGTTTCGGCGGAATCGCCTTCTTCAGAGCCTGAAAGGATCATAACAATCTGTGATTATCCGACCAAACGT